GATCATGACAAGTACTTGGACAAAGTACTGACTAAACTAGTAGAGAATGGGTTGACAGCAAATCTACCCAAGTGTCTGTTCAGGATGAGAAAGCTAGCGTTCTACGGCCACGTGTTGTCGGACTACGAAATTGCGCCGGAACAAGCCAAAATTTCCGCACGCTAACATGCCGCACGTATATATGTGAAACTTCTACATATATAACGATGGTTTATTATGCATAGCTTTTTATGTCACCGATGCATTTTTCACAGGTTAATTTTGATGGAAGCTTACCAGCTGAAGCATCTATGTATTTCTTAGTATCTTTATACAAGTTCTTTGTGGCTTCATCCAATCTACATGAAAGACAACCAAATTGAACAGTTACTGCACATTTTCATTCCTAAATTTAAAATGTGTAAAAATGGTTTGGCTTTGAATTTTATACACTATAACCGGGATCGATTCATAGTTGAAGGTTTCAGGAAGAGAACTATCTGATAATTATAATCTTTGACTGAGACTAAACTGGTCAATGCTACTGCCTAGTGTCTATGTCCTAATTTTAGTTCTAAAACATTTAAATATAATAATGGCTTACTGATGCAATCTAGCCACCTCTCTTTGGAAGTTTTTCTCATCCTATGGAAAGAATAATGAATAAATAAGTAATTACATACACATCTTTACAATCCATTTTCACATTTACATAAAAAATTATCATTAATCTAGTGACTATATTGCTGCATCTAACTGATATGATCAATTCAGTGAGGGTCATGAAATAGCCTGTAATCAATCAAGAATCATGGTTACAGAGTGAGATAATTTCATCAAAGCCAATCCTACTCTCAACGATGCGCTACATGACTTGTTAACTCCTGCTTTAAAATAGAACCCTGCATAAGTCTTGAACTCTGTTGTAATTATCGTGGATGGACCACGAATCATAATTATTTTCACCAATTCACCAAAATCCTGGTTATAGCTTTGCCACACTACTCTTAGGGGTGTCAACTCACAAAGAGATGTTTATCATTCTCTATATACCCATAATTGGCTCAGTAGAGCCAAATTAAAATAACACTACGCTCCGTGCAGATTGAATAGGAAGCACAGAAAAGTTTTGTAAGCTGTGGAGCTTCTGCTGCCAGGGTTTATGTCCCCCAGGGTACTGCCGGAACGTACCCTGGGTATGGTCCGGTATACTGGAACGTACCCTGGTACTATCTAATATGCTGGACCGTACCTCGCCTACTCCACTAATGAGTCTAGGGAGTCGCCTACGCCTACTCCCTAACCCTAACCAGTAACCCTAACCCTAACCCTAACCAGTATCCCTAACCGGGCTAACCCTAACCCTAAACATATCAAATAGTTACCAGGGTACATTCCGGAACTTCCGGTATACCGGACCGTACCCAGGGTACGTTCCGGCAGTACCCTGGGGGACATAGACCCTATGAGCTGAGCTTCTAATTAAATGGGCGTATTAGGTGTCAGCTTTACTATTTAGACAAGGACTAGTATGGACAGGGTATTATACATAGAACCTTGACACTTACTTGTGGCAATATGATGCTAGACTTTGTAGATAAATTTTTGCTGAATGGGTTCCTGAAAGTAAAAAAAAAATTGAAGAAAGAAAACAATGTGATGCATTTACTAATCACAGTAATATACGACAGGCTTACAACATAGGTTTAAACCCCATATGCGTTTAATTGTTATCTGATGATGTATCACTGCATAGTCCACTCTAGTTTGGACCTTTCTTGGGACCCATTCACTATTGTACAATCGAACTATTCGTTAGGTCTACATTTAAGTAGCATTTTACTCCCGCTACAGGGCTATGCTAACATGTAACAGTGAGAGGATGTGACAGCTTGGCAATGAATCTCTGCAGGATGGCAGGCTAACCAGTACCCACTCACTAGCGCTGCATGCCAGTATAAAAGATAAGACGTAGCCAGTAAATAGACGCTGCCAGTACGTAGGCGCTGTATGCCAGTAAATTAGATCAGACGTGGCCACGTACTGTTGTTTTAGGTTTATTTGCGTTCGATAAACGACCCTAAACTTTTCTAACGTTTCAAACTATGGTGAGTTGAATTTGATTTAAGAGTGGCAGGCTAGAGTCAGGGCATTTATCTTGCCGGCTAGCACACTTTTCTATTACATTGCTGGCTACAGCTTAGTAAACATGTTTAGCTGCAAAGTCTCACTGTCGTTTTCGATAACAGTTGCCCGTATATGGTTAGATAAAATAATGTAACCCAACAAGAGTAGGGTTACAACGCGAGCCTATTCTTTTCTTTGGAGGAGCTCCTGAGTGATTCACTCAGGGCAGTTTTATGGTGCGTTTTTCGAGACTAGAACTTCCAAACTGGGTTTATTCTAAACACAAACCTTTCTCCGCTATCATGGGACTTACTATGTATAATCACAATACTCTGTATTAAACTAATATAACCTGTTACAAAATTTCGAAGCGACGAGCGGCGATATTTCGAGCGCCATTTCTGTTGACCTGTGACGTACGCATTCCCAATGCGCATAGCATTCGGCTAACTTCGGTTCCTGTGTTGCCTGACATGCTGGCTCTGGTGTCGTCATGAGTGACAGCAGGCACACCATGATGCATTCGATCTTAGAGCCGAAGTTAGCCGAACGCTATACGCATTGGGAATGCGTACGTCACAGGTCAACAGAAATGGCGCTCGAAGTATCGCCGCTCGTCGCTTCGAAATTTTGTAACAGGTTATATTAGTTTAATACAGAGTATTGTGATTATACATAGTAAGTCCCATGATAGCGGAGAAAGGTTCGTGTTTAGAATAAACCCAGTTTGGAAGTTCTAGTCTCGAAAAACGCACCATAAAACCGCCCTGAGTGAATCACTTAGGGGCTCCTCCAAAGAAAAGAATAGGCACGCGTTGTAACCCTACTCTTGTTGGGTTACATTATTGAATCTAGCTAGTATATGATATGCAAAAAGTTGAGCCATGCGCTACAAGAGTAGAGCTAGCTATACACAGACAGAGACAGTAGACCCCTGCTTATGCCTTGCGGTCACGACTTTAGGTTGGCTCTAAACAATTATTTGATTTAGATTCCCCAATAAGCCCTTGTTAGTATTACTGCTACCTAGCAGTGCCATGTAGGAGTAGGACTGTACAGTACAATGCACTGTAGTGTAATGTAGCATACGACTCCTAGTAAAGATATACTAGTATACAGTAGGAGGTAGAGCCGAGTCTAGCCCTGGCCGGCTCAGGTAATGGATAGTTTGGAGCCCCATGTCGTGGTAGAGCCAACGAGGGCTAGCATATACCTCTACTTGTGTAGTCGCTTCGCTCCCGCAACAGGGATATAGCATATAACTAAATCAAGCAACAGTGACAGGAGCGAAGGCCGGAAGGGGTTACACCGAATACATGTAATACGGGCCGCTAGTGCTAGTAGTATTGCTCATAGGGTCTATGTCCCCCATGGTACTGCCGGAACGTACCCTGGGTACGGTCCGGTATACCGGAACGTACCCTGGTAACGAATTTTGATATGGTTAGGGTTACGGTTAGGGTTAGGGTTAGTTAGTGTTAGGGTTAGGGAGTAAGCGTAGGCGACTCCCTAGACTCGTTAGTGGAGTAGGCGAGGTACGGTCCGGCATATTAGATAGTACCAGGGTACGTTCTGGCAGTACCCTGGGGGGCATAGACCCTCTCAGCGTAGCATTAGTAATATTACTACTACTAGTACTAGTATAGATACAATAATGTAACCCAAACACAGGATAGGGTTACAACACGTCCCTATCCTTTTGTGTAGAGGAACCCCTGAGTGAATCACTTAGGGCGGTTTGCTGGTGCGTTTTCAGAGACTAGAACTTCCAAACTGGGTTTATTCTCAACACGAACTTTTCTCCGCTATCTTGGAACTTACTATGTATCACAGTACTCTGTATTAAACTAATATAACCTGTTACAAAAATTCGAAGTGACGAGCGGCGAATATACTGAGCGCCATTTCTGTTGAACTATGACGTACCGGTACACTTCGGTTTGAAGAGCGGATTCACCTACCAATCGGAAAGCGCTGCGTTTGCCGATCGCTATGCGCATTGGGAATGCGTACGTCA